TAGGGAAATGCTTAGGGTTTTGAACATATCTAAATAGCGTAATGAATGCCATTTTGTCTGGAGGTCCATGTGAAATGGGATGCGGTTTGATCAAACCTAAAGCATTAAGTGCTGTGGAAAATGGGCAATGCTAATGTGTGCTAAAAATGTTAGAAAACTGCCTTTGTGCTGAAAACCTCCCATTGCAGCGCTGTAAATGGTGGCCCGTGAGCCTGCCTGGAAGCTGAGCTTCCCTACTCTTGCGTTTACCCATGACGTGGTCTCATCCTGTGCACTGTAATCCTGCTAAAGATTGTTCCATGTATATGTTTTAATCATGCTTCTCTTCCTAATATCCAGCTGCTGTCTTCCCCCTTTTATCTAAGCAGCATGCAGAGTTCGAGGAAAAAGCAGTGAAACTGAAAAGAATGAAGGAAGATTTGGGTTTAAAAAGGGCTGTCTCTCTTTCAGCTGTGTTGTAGGAGCTTGCAGAGTTGTGGCCTTATCTGAGTCTTTGTCTCCTTTGGGAAATCTGAGAGGGTGCTACTAATGGGAAAGGAGGGTCCCCATCCTTGCAGTTATTTCATAGAAAACTCCTCTGCTTTCATGATAAGGACCTTGTTTGCTTGACAGAAGTAGAACTGAAATTCCCTGGAAAAATAGCAGCTTTTGTGGGTTTCCCTTGAAAATGCTCACAGTCTGGAGGTTGCTTAGACCTGATCTCTGTAGCCCCCTCCTCATGCTTCCTTAACATACCTTTTTGTATCGGAATCATTTCTGTCAACCTCCTGTCTTACTCTGGGCTTCTACAGGGGATAGACAATTGGTCACAACTGGGCTGCTCAAAGCTACACCAGGGTGTTGACTGTGGAACTGGTGGTTTAGGGAAAAGCAGGATGTATCACTTTCTTCAACCTGTTCAGGCTGGGTGTGGACAGCCAAGCTCTCAGCAGGAGCTGAATCCAATTATAATGATACAGGAGAGAGCAGAAAACTGCAGCACGTGGTTAAAGAAGAATTTATAATTGTATCACGCTGGTAATTCCCTTCTGACATGAACTGTACCATAAATAATCTGGTTAATTAGCCAGTGCAGGTTTCCAGGGCTGCCAGTTCTTGAGACACGGAGTAGCAGCATGGGCTGATTTTGCATCTTGTAGCAAGGTGTAATACAGGCTGCAAGATCAGACAGCAGCTTTCAGGTAATTGCTGAGTTAATATTCACTTTAACTCTTCACTGATAGGGAAGCTCACGTAACAGTTAGGTGTGTCTCTAAGTTAAAAGGATGTTTGTATTGAGTTTAAAAAGTAAAAGCTGAAGTTGCAGGATTGCCAAACTCCATTTGTTTGTTGTTGGTTTTTCATTGTGTTACACTGTTTTCTATGTTCTTTTTAGGGCAGTGATGACAGACTGTTTCAGTTCAGTTGATGGCTATAGTGTATTTCTTTTCTCCCTGGTTTGACTGCTTCTGTGTTAATCATAATGCTGCAACAACCAGCCTGCAAAGGCTGTAGCGGGGTCAGAAGTGCCTGGCCTGGCATGTGTGACCCCATCCCTGACTTGCAGATAGCACTGGGATCTCTCTCATGCAACATGATTTCCCATGCTACATTCAGCTGGGCAGCCTGATTTATGCAGACCAGGTGTGCCTGCAGTGAGCAGCCTTGGAGCTGGAGGAGGCTGCTGCTGGCTAATTAAAACCAGGTTACTGGTGAGGTCTGTGATCCAACAGATTCCAGTGGAAGGCATGTTACCTTCTGCCACAGCACTTTTGTGTTCATGCATATTGTTTGATCCTATGCATCTGTCCTACCGTCTTTTTCCTTTTCCCGAAGTTTTAGGGGAAAGTATTAGGGCATAATGGAAAGAATGAAATCAAGGAATAACTGGTACTCTCATCTTCAGATGGGGACAGAGGCTAGGGGAATGTGTGTATGAGAAATTTCAACTACTGCAGCCTGGGCTTATTTCAAACAAGCTGGAAATAAAGACTCTGATCCTAAAATCAATTTTGAGGAGCCATGAGAAATACAGTAGAATTTCTGACCTGAAGGGAGATGATCTTGATGAGAAAGGAGCCTTTTGCCAAGGCTGAAAGAAGCTATAGGAGTTGGGTGCAGGATTTATTTGCCTTTGCTTTTCTAATTCACTCCACCCTTCTCAAGCCATTGTTGAGTATTTTATGATCCCAGTCTTGTACACTTCATTGCTTGTGGAACTCCCATTGAGCTCAGTGAGTATTTAGCATGTTAAAAAAACTCTGGAATCCAGCTACAATATCTATTCTATACATTATATGGCATGCAGTTTTTAGCAGAGCTGTCTAAACCTCATTAATAAAGCAAAGCTTTATATATAATAAATGCTTGTTCAATGTTCTGTGACCATTATTTAACAATGATTTTATATTACGAGTTTCATGGATACTTCAGTTCCGGGAAAATACTTGATTTTTTTTTTCCCCAGATTGAAAGGTGAAGAACATTGGGTACTCTCATTGTCCAGTGCACTGTGTCCTGCTCTAAAATTAGTCTTCTCTTCAGCATCCCGCTCGCATTGCTTACACCTTCAAGATGTGTTACGTAGACTCGCCTCCCAGGCATTTCTCCTGCTCTCTGCCCTCACCTTTAGCAGGGTCCAGAACTCCAAAACTACTTCAGATAATTCCAAGTAAAAACCGCTGCTTTTTAACAAAAAGTTTCAGCAATTGTGGCAGCCATAAGATAAAATAATCTTCTGCAAAGGCCTGAACTTTTTTCCTTTAATTCGAGCTTGAGAAAATTCTGTCTGGCCTCGCATTACAAGAAATGGACTTGGCTGCAGATCGTGGCTTTTTGGGGTAGTTTTTGTTTTCAAATCTTACACATGAGGTAATAAAACGGAAGAGAGGAAGGGTAAATTTAAGACAAAATGGGAAGACAGAATATGTCTGGAGGACCTAGAGGATGAGGGAATTTTTCAAGTTGTTTCTGGTTCTCTTAACAACTCCAGCTTTCAGCAAGGGTAGATCAACCCAACTCTTCTTTCACCAATGTTCTGCAATTTGAGGTACCTGTGATGCCTGTGCTTTAGGGATGTGGGCTGTGAGCTTAAAAACCTTTGAACGTCTTCTTTCCCAGCTAGCTGTTTTCTGTCACTGAGGTAGGTAGTGTGAGGGTCTGGCTTCTTGGTGGTGGTTGGTGAATGTGCTCTTACCTGTGGGCGCTGGTGGGGATGGGTGCTGTACCCACAGCTCTGTGGTTCATCTACCCAGAGCACTCCTGCTGGGAACAGAGTGGAAATGAAGGATGCACTTTGTGTCTGCCTTATTTACTTGGCATTCATAATGCCTTTCCTCTCTCGTGTCTATAGAGAATGAAGAATGTTTCCTTTATTTGCACAATGAGGCATTTTTTCCCTTACAAGAGAGGACTTGTAAGGAGAGGAGCAGATGAAATTTTGGGCATGCAGATCCCATATGGCTCATAAACCACACAAATGGCAAAGTGGGTCACTGCAGAGGACTAGTATGGTCAGCAGCTTGGATTACACTAAATGAGTTTCAAATTGTGGTGCCTAATTATAATGGTAGTCACAGAGATTAGGCTGTAAGGAGACAACTTGGAATCTCTGGCTTTTTTTTTTGCGTAAAGATCATTTAAAACTGGAATAGAAGTTTGTAGACAGAAACAGGCCAATGTAGAATAAAACTATAGTATACCCCACAAGGACAAGCTTTTGATTTGGCTAGTCTTGTTTAATTTCCCATTCCCAGCAATTCCCAGTAATAACCCTGCAGACATCATCTCTTTTCCAGAAGGCGATTTATTTATTTTCCCAGCTATGGAAGGTTGATAGCTCAAGATTTGAATGAGAAATAGTTAAGAAAGGAAGCCCTTTAATGTATCAGTACTTACTTTGCTTGCATAACAAAACCTCAAACGTATTAATACATATTATTTACTGGATATAATTTTCCTCCTTATTTTTTTTGTTATGCCATTGTACATCCCGAAAACTTCAGCTCAGGTTAACCTATTTCACATAGCAGTACAAAAATGCATACATTTGTATATCCCTGATTGTTGTGACATGATTTTAATTTGCTTTTCAACTGAGTGCTCTTACCAAAGAAGCTCTCCAAGAAAATCAGCAATTCCTGAGGAAATGACCAACCTTTTATTTCCTTCCCTGGATATTTTGGTTTTCTAGGAAAGTCTGTACCTCTCTAGATGTGTTCACCAGGCTCTAATTGCCTAGATTATCTAATCTGCATAGTGATAGCATTCTATCAATATTGGCTTCTTGACAGCCCTTGTCAGAACACTCAGATGAGAGCATTACTATGTAGATCTTATCTGGTGAGTGATAGGATAGATTCTTGTCTTCCACTTTTGCCTTGTCTTAGCACATTGACTTGCTTGAAAATAGCCATCTGTGACTGATTTTTGTGCATATTAGTCACCAAAGAACAGCAATGCATTTGCATAGGGAATATATTTTCCACTCAAGTTGTAAAATAGAGGATTACCTCACGTACAATATTGCATTTTCCTGAAAATGTAAGATTTTTTTCTTAGGCTACGAAGTGTGCATATTTCAGGCTATAATGTGCAGTCAAAGATCCTCTTTGCTTACTACTTGTGAAAATACTTGAGGCATGTGTGGTGCCAGTGAGAGTGCTCAGTAACAGTTAAAGCACATAAGCCCGAGTTCCTGGGCTTCACTCCCAGCTCCTAATAATCTGTTACAAGGCAGGCTTTAGAGATATGAACAGTAAAACTTACCAGCGTACAAGGGTGTTGTGAAATATAAGTATAAAACCTCAATAAAAGCTCTTGCAGAAACAAAGCATTGCTCATCTTTTTGTTCTGTTCACTGTGTTAAACTTCATTTAGAAATAGTTGAGTTTGATGTGTTTGCTACTAGTGGCTGTAATTAGGATTTTAACATAGTCACATGATTTTGGAAGATTCTTCACTGCTTTTTGTTTGCTTGTGTTTGTTTTCTGGCAGGTTGGAAGCGATTTTGGATATTTTCCAAAGGATTTACTTGAAATAAATCATAATTATTCCAATGAGGAGCTAGAATTACCAACAGATGTAAGTCTTATTTGCTAATTGGCTTCCTCCTGTTTCTTTCGTTGGCATTTAATAAAATCCCTGAGGAGGAGAATGGGAATATGTCATCCATAGTTACCTTTTGTTAGTAAGCAGCTACATATGTGCAGAGATCCCAGGGATGGGATGTTTGTGCAGCAATGTATGTGTAAGCATCAGCCCAAAATGTGGGCATTGATCTTTCTTTTTTTGAATATTCTGGTTTTCTTCTAACACAATCTGCTTGGATTGAGCTCTAGAGATGCTGCTAACTGGCTTGCATGTAGGCTTTTTGGGATGTATTCAGGGTTGTTTCTTTACCCAAACTTTGGAAGTTTAAAGTACTATCAGAAACAAACAAAACCTGATACACTTAGCCCTTTGATTCTAGTCCTTCAACCTTTATACACATAAAAGGCTTTCACACACTAATAGTTACTACTCCAGAGTTGTGTGAGTAAGGCCAGTTTGTGGATGCAGCTTCATACCCTGATAAAATTGTGTTCAGTGGCTTGTGCTGTTGCTTGATTTTCAGAGGCAGCTCCTGCTTGGAGGACTTGGGCATTTGAGGAGCAACCAGCTAAAATAAACTCTAACAAACAAGCTTAACGATATTTGGTTTCTTCTCCTCACTGGCACTTGGCAGTAGACTTGTTCTTAATTCAGGATATATGTGATGAGTCAAATCCATTGCCTCTTTCGAGTTTGTTCCTTGGCAGGTCTTTGTCGGAGCTAAGCCGTAGCTTTTTTTTATTTTTTTAAGAGTCCTTGGGCAAAACTTCCACTGATTTCAAAGAGCGTTTTGGTTAAGGACTCCAGGGGTGAATTCTGCATGATGAATAGAACTTCCTTTGCTGCTGCATCTCTCTTACCCAACCAAATGGATTTGCTCTCCTCACTGTAATAAAGTAAATAATATTTGTGACTATATATTGTTTTTCATTTCAGGAAACAGACTTCGTTTGCTTTGATGGTGGAAGGGATGATTTTGATAATTACAACGTGGATGAGCTTTTGAAGTCATTGCAAGAGACGATAGCAAATGAAGAGGAAACTGAATCAAGTGATCCAGGGACAAAACCAGCTGAAGGAACTGAAACGGATGGGGAGATGGATCAGGTTGATTCAGTAGAGTCCTTTGATGCTTTGAAGACAGACAATCTTGAGCTAAGCACAGAAGACGAAGAAGCTCCCTCCATGACAGAGGAAGTAGACAGTTTTCTTATAGAAGGAACTGAAAATACTGGGGGAGACTCCAGGGTCAATAGTCACAAAGAAAACTCTCAGGGAGATCAAATTGCACACGAGCACTTGAAAGGAATGCTACACGGGAAACTAAAAGGGCTAGAAAGTGAAAATACCAAAAACATTAGTATTCCTCAGGGTGAAACCAGTCAACTTGACAAAGAGAGTGAAGATGTCAATGCCTACATGCTTTTAAACAGAGAGATCTCTGTGAACTTGAAAACAAATTTTGGCTCAACTGCTGATGCTGTTGTATCAGATGATGAAGTGACTGGCCTTGTTACATCTCTGGAAGATGATTTTAATGAAGATTTGAGCATTAATGCTCATGATGCACAGGAGGAACCAGACTTCGCAGATCAGTCTGATGAAATTCCTTTGCTGTCTTTTATAGCAGAAGAAGAAATTCCATCCCAGGTGGATTTAGAAGATTATGAAAATGATGACATTGAGTCACAAAATCATGTACCTGATAAAGATGCAAAAGGTGCTACAGAGCTAAATAACCAAAGAGACAATGAGGAAGAACCTGATTCAGATGCATTTATTCATGAGGATGCCTTCAGTAAGAGCAAGAAGTCAGGGGACAGCATAATCATGGACAGGTCCGAATCCAAACAAACGAAAGAGAAACAGGATGAGGTGATGCTAATTAGTAAAAGAGAAGCACCAGCAACAACTCAACCTGAGGATCTCTCCAAAGAGCTCCATAGAAGGCAACCTGTAGGTACAGGTGACCTGGGTTCAAAAGAAAAACCAAACAAAACTGAACAGTTTGAAGAGCAACTCATGGTTGGTGGAACTGAATCACGTACTGAAGAGCTGAAGAGTACAGCTGTGCCTGATCCTCATGTTTTGCCTAGTCCAGGAGATAATGTGGAGTCCAAATCGTTTGTTAAAAGCAACCAAGATGCTTTAAAACCACCTGTTGGTGATATCAACAGAAGTCCAGGAAGAGTGCTACTTGCTCAAACAGAGAAAGATGAGGACAAGCTTGAGGATGACAACTTGGAAGAGGTCTTGGAAAGCAATTTAAAGCACAAAAAGTTATGGGAGAAAACAGAGGAGAAAGGAAGAGCTGAGAACAAGCCTTCTGTTGATGTCGAAGCTAAACCAGTGGAAGAGGTAAAAAATGCATCTCAAAGTGACTTAAGAGATACTGACCTCTTGAAAGAGCAACTGGAGCATGGAGTGCCTGCTGTGGAGAAAGAACTTCTAAGACATGAAGAAGATTTGAAACAAACAGAGGAGACCAATCACGAAAATCAGAAATCCACCTCTTTTAACAAAGAACCTGAAATGAAAAGGACAAACATGAAAGAAACCCCTGCAGGGGAGGGGGACTCAAGCCATAGAGGAGCTGTTGAGCAACCTAGGCCATGGGAAAATGAGACTGAGTATTCAGAGGCAGGTGTGGAAGAAGAGCTTTCAAGAAGCCTTGGCAAGACGACAGTACTTGAAGAAAGCATTGAGAAACGTTCCTCTGAAGAAAAATCAAAAAGCACCCCACAGAATATTAATACAGAGAATCTTACTCAGCAAAGAACTGCTCGTACTGGGAGCGCAGATTCAGACACAAATCTTGGCACAAATTTAGCTAAAGAAAGAACACTAAGATCAGAATTGCCATCTGAAGAGCCAGGTGCTGAAGACGACCCTGACCTGAAAGAAGTAGTGGAAGAGCTATTACAGGATGAGAATGCTGCAAGTGCATGGTTGTCACAAGCAAGGGCTGCAAATGTACAGGATAATAAGCTAAATATTAAAAGTACAAATCCTGAATTACAAGTGCCAAGTGAAGCTGTTTTGGGAACCACAAGCCCTACTTATGAAACAGGGGAGGAAATGAACTCATTCTCTAAGGAGGCTAAAAAACATATCAGCATGCAAGATGCCAGCAAGACTGGGAAGGGAGAGATTGACATGCCAGTGAGTGAAGATGCTAAATTGGATGAGATGGAACATGTCATGGACAACGATGACGATGAGTTTTATAACACTAAGGAACCATCAGCTGTGGAAGAACATAATTTCCAATCTCCTGACATAGAAGATGACAATGACTTTAACCAAAGGAAGTATCATCTCCCAGAGGATGTTTCACAGAAAGACTCAGAACAGATGCAAAATTCAGACCATACACGAAATGACCACCATCACTCTGTGCCTTTCCACAGCCCTGCCGACAGCTCAGGAGCCCCCAGTGACACTGTAGCAGACTTCAGTGAGTCTGTGAAGCAGCTCACGATAATGAGAGATTTCCTTGATGAAAAGCGCATAACACGTCTACAGAAGTACCTCGGGCTCCAGGATGTGGTGAGGATAGAAGCCATGTTTCATGACATGAAGGTAGAGATGGAGCTGGCTCAGAAGGCAAGCCATAATAATGAAGATATAGAAAAAAGTCTGGACCAGATACTTGAGTTTTCGGAAACAAGCATTATGGATTTTGTAGGAAAAGTTCTGGATTCCAGAGTGGCAGAAAATAAAGAGGAGGTGGTGAAAGAGATGGATTTGTATGATGAGGAGAGCGCACTGATGGATGATATTCAAGAATTAATATATTCTTTAAGGAGTAAATACTCGTCTGCTAGTGAGAGTGTCCCACTTGCATCTATTCCAGAACTGGAAGATGATCAGCTGCATGTCCAAGGTAGGATGTTAAACCGGTTAATAAATAGATGAAAGGGAAGTAAAACCCTATCCCAGACAACACTCCGTAACCCAGAGAAGCTCTAAAAAGAGGGTAAGGGAGAATTGAAAGAGGCCTGGTGGAATCTGCTGGGAATGTGCTTATTTTTAGTGTGTGTTTCTAGCATTGTGATTGGTGGCCCAGGGATAAATCCTGAGAGAAAGTGTTGAGCTCAGCATGTCTGTTACGGGCCAGGCTCTGTGAAACTTAAGTATATAGATCTGGGTAGAAGGAGGCTTTCAGGGCACATCTGTACCTCCTCTCAGGAAATAGGCATTCACATATACTGATGTGCTGTATTTTCTGGAGGGTGTAGAGCAGTCTTTTTTCCTCTGAACTAGCTAGCACCTGATTATGAAAGATTCAATGATTAATGCAAAGTTCAGGCACTAAATCCATGCACCTCAGATCTCAGGTGTCCCTATCATATTTTTGCCCATAATCATGAATTTTTTTAGTGTATAAGTACAAATACCGAACAAACAGGTCTTTTGATGGGGAAGAACCAGTTCTACAGTCTGCTGCAAACTTGCTTGTTTTTATAATTAATGTGCAGGTGCTAAGATATACTCTTAGCAAGGCTCCTTTTCCAATAGTAGATGTTAGGTTTATAATTTAAGATAGTCATGAATGATGATGGTATTTCACTTTGCAGTATTTCATTGCAAGGTCAGTGCTTCATACCTTGTGTAAATTCCATATAAACATTTAATTAGATGTTACTAAAGGTTGATTGGGAATACACTGGGAGCAATGCACAAGCTGAAGTGTTTATAAAGTGCCAGGAAAGCCTTGTCAAATGTAGTATTTCACTGGTGACAGCTGTGGGTAAGAAATACACATTAGCTCAGTCCTTAAATTCATGTCTCCTTGTCTGTCGCAGATGGTGCAGAAGAGGCTAAATATGATGGAGTTTCCATCAGAAACCCAAATACCATTGATGAGAGCAATCAGGAATTTCAGCAGCTTGAGGATAAGAGGCCAGAACTGCTTACTGAGAAAGAGGAGAGCGCTGTTAATACTCCACCTGAGCATGAAGAGGCCAACTTCTCAGATAATAGAGAAACTCAAGAAGGGAATGATAGTGAAGGAGGATCACTGCTGCAAGATACGTCCTTTGGGTCAAATGATTCAGGACAGAGTGCCAGGGAAGATATCACTGCAGGTAACCTTTTCGAGTTGGGTTATTTTGCTTCTGCTTTTAGGGAGGAGCCTGGTGGAATGGCCTTCGAGCAAATACTCAGGTTTTTCACTAATGTTTTCATCGTACCTTGCTGTAATCCTACTTGCTTCTACTAAACCGTGACAGTCCTCTAGCGGCAGTATTGTAGTGCTGCCGCTCATCTCAGCAGAGCAGTTTTTCTGCTACCTGTTTGCACTATGGAAATGAGAATAGTTCTCCTATAAGTGCCATAGTCAGAGCTCTGAGCTGAGGCTGCTGGACTGCATCTCGGGATGGTAGTGGATAAAGAGCAGAAATCCCTGGAAGCATTCCATCAGCTCAGGTTTCCTCCTCCTTGCAGGCGGGCTGACAGTCTAACCATTAGGCTATAGAACCATGTGCTCTCCTCACTCATTTTAACCTGTGACTCTGGGCTGTAGTTCCAGGAAAGATGGAGTGTAGCTTCCCTCTATCAGTTCAATAATGTCTGGCTGAGGTGTTTTTGGGAGGAAGAGAAATGTTTGACTCTGTTTCACTGGGACCTTCTCCCTCTGGAGCAAGTGTGCTGACCAGTGCCAACTCGTGAGAATGCCAGGGAGGGAACTTAGTACCATCATCTTCCCCAGCTGTGTTTTGGCATGAAAGTACCTTTGACTCCATTCTTGGTGCTAAACCCAGCTTTGCTGTTCTGCATTCATCTCTGATTACGCTTAAATCCATCTTTACTGAGCATATAGAAGAACTTAGGCACATCTGCCTTAGCTTTTGTACACTACTGAGGTACTGTACCATCCCCATAGCCAAGTACTTTTGATCAGCTTCCGAGGGAAGCTCTAGGTTGAATGCAGAGATGCCTAATGAATTTTAAATGGCTGGTGGATTACTTACATGGTTAAGCAGTCGGATGTCCTACTGTATTTTGGGCCATCTTCCATGTTGTTGGATGCTGTTTGCCAGGAATTCCTGTCAGTAGACTGCTAGTAGTGCTGAGAAGACACAAGGTGGATGTTTGTAGAACTCCTGTTCCACAGTGTAACAACACGCTGGTTGTTTTTACCTGCTAACTTGAAATGATGGCAACAGTAGCAGTGAGAGGAGGCAGGCTGTGGATCAGGGTAGAAGTAAAGATGGTTTAAAGCTTGCTCCGTACTGACGGTGCTGTAAACTTACTAGAAGACATAGGTTTATTGATTAGGAATTCAGTGTGTGCTTTTCTGTTGTTGCTGATTTGCAGCTGAAGGAGCTTGTTGTGCTCTGAGGCAGGCTTGGCAAAGCGATAGTGTATCTGTGTCCCTCTGCAGTACCTCTCCTAAAGCAGCCTGTGGAACATCAACCACCCTTTCTAAGGATTTTGCCTGTTTCTTCACTGCCCTGGAGCACCGTAATTTGAAATCTCGCCTCAGAGACGGCGGGGTGGGGGGGGACGGGACACAAGCAGGCTGCCCTGTCAGCGAGCCCCGCTGGCGAACGTCTGACGTGGGAGGTAACGCATGTCCCTCTGTCCCCGCAGACGCCGAGGAGAACGCCGGGCCGCCCGTGGGAGGCGGGTCGGAGGCGGTGGCGGCCGCCTCCTCAGGGGA